AAGGAGAATCCCTGTGGAGTAAGAATGAGAGGCACATTCTAAGGTCAAAAGTTTTTAAGCACTGAATCATTTATCTGCTGACTGATTGTGGCTAGGGATAGTTTACCTTGACATTTTTACTGGTGCTAACAGCCTGCCATGGTACTTACACAGTTCAGTGATTTTGTGGTACATGCAAAGTGAATATTCAGCTTATATTTTGGATTTGATAATAGGGGTTAATAAGAAAAGCTGCTGTCAGAGTTTAAAAATATGACAAATTAAAATACAAACAAAGTTTATTTTTCAGGGTATTCCTTTTTTATTTCTGCTCAGGTTACATGTGAAAATACTCATCCTCACTAAAATACTTCTTTAGGTCTTGTTTGACAGCTCAAAAATTGCTTCATAAAAAATAATATGCCCTGTCTCCCAAATCTGTCTTCCTAATACTTGCTGGCACTTGAATGTTGCATTCATTTCTTTTCACAATAAGCAAGTAAGTGATGATTCTTTTCTGGTAGGAATTAAGAGAACTACAAATATGTCAAGGTTATGTAAGTCACCATGGATAAATAGCTTGTGTAATACTCTTGATAGCAGGCTTGCAATTGAACCCACTGAAAAATTGTCAAAAGTTAATCAAGCTCATTACTATAACTCTTAAAGTTGATTTTCAAGTGATCTTCAACAAGATGAATTATATTTTTTGTTGGAGCATAGATTTTATCCACTCTAGAAATTGTTTTCAGAATATGTTTAGTCTTATGACTTAATGTTTTGGAAGTTAAAGAGAATCTTTGAAAGGTAGATTTTATTTCTGTGTAGTGAAAACATCAGGGATATGAGGATAAAATTTAACTTTTCAGAGTTTATTACAAACCTTTTATTACTTTGTGGTCCAAAGTCAGTTTTTGTGTATGGCCAGCCTGGCCAAGGCAAGACAAAGGATGATCTCAAAAATTGTGCCTACAGGGCCGGGGATTTAGCTCAGTGGTTCTGCTACCTGCCTCGCAAGTGCAAGGACCCGAATTTGATCCCTGGTACCAAAAACAAAAACAAAAATTGTGCCTACAGGTCACATTCTTGGTGATAATGGTCCAGAAAGGAGATATGCAATTGTGACAGTAACATTTATTCTTTTCATAATCAGGTGAGTCTTTAACCCTTGTCTGATGCCTTGAAGCTAAATTCTAAAGTAGTGATGGAAAAGGTGACTGCTTTAGAAAATTTACTTCTATCTTACCCTGTCATGCCCATCATATTTTTGAGTATATATGTATACATCTTTCCCTGTTATGTGGGTTATATGCAAAGCTGGGACCTGAGTGGGTACCAGTTGATAAAAATAGTATCTTTTCTAAACAACTGTCACCTTTGTGTTACTAGTGAATTAATAGAAATAAAGATGATTTAGGATACATTATATGTAGGAAATTAGGAGCAGATGTGTATATACGAATGTATCATCATACTTTAAATCCTAGGAGAATTGGTTTCATAATCACAATGTTTATAATTTTCAAAGAAATACTGTTTGTTATTTAAATACGGAAGAATGTCTGAAGTGTGTATTTACCAAAAATTAAATAATGAGTATTCAATTTATACTAAGTTACATGCTAAACACTTTACAGACATCATTTTATCCTAAGTAAAATTATGCATTAGATAATTATAATTCTATTTTACAGATAAAGAAACTTAAGTTCAGCAAGATAAATAATCTGTCCAAGATCCGATAGGTATTAAATGAGGAAAGCAGAAATGGAATCAGTGTTTGTTGACCCTTCCATGAGAAGAGGGAATGACTTCTTCCCCCTTCTCACGGTGAAGACAGTTGGCAGGATTAGAGAGAGATTAACAGGAGCCTTACATAAAAATGACCTCATCGAGTTCGATCCTCGGTACTGAAAAAAAAAAAAAAAAAGACCTCACATCAATTTTGATCGTGCTGTGAAGTTTTTAGCCATATAAAAATAAAATGTTTACGCATGGAACTCTTTAATTTTAAATATTTAAATGGTGAATTGTTTATATTCTCTTTGTGCTTCCTCTGAGTTCATTTTATTTCTTGTAAAAATTGATTACTATTATCAAAACAAGTCTTAGAAAGGAATTAATATTGAAGAGATAAAAATGCTTTGTCCTTTCAGAGTATTAGTTTTGCTGACTCATTTACTTAAGTATTTGCTGAATAAGTGGGTAAGTGAATATGGAGTTAGGTATGGATCTCTTAAGTATACACTCTTTCTAGTCTCAACTCTTATGGCTAATCGGGAGGTAGGTTAATTCTAGTTTTCACTTTGCAAACAAGATTATTTTCTTTTGGTTTTTTAGTAGGCCAGTACACAATTTCATTCCTATTTAGCTTATGAGGGTCTACCTCTTGACCTTCTCTAATATGCAGATTGATTAGTGAACAGTGTAGCAAAATAGATTACTTAGTCCATATAGTGAAGTACCAGAAATTATTCTGTTAGCCAATATAAGGAGTATATAAGAAGAAAGCTTTAGAAATACACATGTGTGGAAAGCATTTAAACATAAACCTGAGAAAGGGAGCTCTCATACAGTGCTGATGGGAATGCAAATTAATATAGCCATTATTTAAAACAATGTGGAGATTCCTAAAAAAAAAATCCAAAAAACCTAGAAACAGAACTATGATGTGATTCAGACATTCCTCTCCTGCGTATATTTTTAAAAGAAAGGAAATCAATATGTCGATTAGATATTTGCATTCCTAGGCTTATTATAGCAGTATCAGCAATAGCAACCTAAATGTCCTTCAGCAAATGACTGGATAAAGGTAATATGATATCCTCATATTTGTATAATGGGATGTATTTCACCCATAAAAATGAAATCCTGTCATTTGATGTAACAGGGATGAGCCTAGAGAACATCATGTTAAGTGAAATAAGTCAAGCACAGAAAGACGAATACTGCATATTCTCATTTATATATGGAAGCTATAAGGTTGATCTCAAAATTATAGAGAGTGGTTACCAGAAGCTAGGTAAGGTGAGCGTGAGGATGAGAGTGAAGGTATGGTTAATGGGTGCAGGAGTACAGCTCTATAGGAGGAACCCAGTAAGTCCCTGACTCCTGGAACATTCCAGTTGCAAACTTTCACAGATGACCAATGGACTGTGCATTGGGAACATTTGTAGATGAGAACAAATCATGGAAATAGCTCATGTATTTACCTTACCATATTAAAGTAACTATAAAAGTAAAAATGGTTTATTTACAATATTTTATGTGTGTTTGGTTTTTTATGCAATGAAATTACATTACCATGACAAATATTTTCTGTATATATATCTTTTTACTTACTGTAGTGATCTTTTTTGTTAATTTTTATTTTTATTAGTACATGTTTGTAGTACATAATGATTACACTCATGTAGAATTGGTACATGAACATAACATATCTTAATTTGTTCCATCTTTATTCAGTTTTAGCGTTACATTCCTATAAGGCATCAGAATTTCTTCTAGACTGATTTGTCATATGTTCTGTGTTTGCTAACAAATTTGGAACTTTTTAGTTTGCTTCCTTTCTTTGTAAGAAAGATGATAAGATCTCATTATCACCCAGCATGAAATAGCAACCAAAATGAAAAAGGCAGCAAGAAATGGAACTGGCTGAACCATGAGCTAATCAACTCCCCCCTTCTTGTACACTTCTCAGCTACAAAGAGAAAGGGAAATAGCATTTACACAGTAACTCGTATTTTAAATGGTTTTTTTCCTTTCTTAATTTGAGACTGAAAGAGGGAATTTGTTTGAATCTTTACGGGAGTAAGACATGAAACAGTATCTTTAATTTGCAATTAGTAGACTTTGGTGCTGCTTTGAATTGCACAAAGTATTTTCATCGTCAGGGTTGCTCAAAGTAATCCCATCCTATTTTCTTGACATTTAAGTACAGTTACACCAAATATTTCCAGAAATAAAATGAAATCAAGTGAATAATTGTTTTTAATAATGCTTAGAATTTTACTCAATTTTGAGCTTTTGGTTCCTAAATCTGTCAAAAAAAAATACTCAAACCACTTTGGATTTATGTTTAAAGGACATGTCATCTTAATATAGTATCTGTAGCCTTTTTTTTTTTTTTGGTACCAGGGATTGAACTGGGGTCCTTTGTGCTTGCACAGCAGGCGGTGAAACCACTGAGCTAAATCCCCGGCCCTCTTGTAGGCTTTTTGTTTTTTGAGTAAGTTGAGTAATTAATCTAGTATGGGGCGGGGGAGATGGATAATATTTTTATATTTTAAATGGTTTTGACATGAGTGTTCAATTATCAGAGTCTCAAGCACTTAAAAATTAGAAAATATGTGGTACTGTGTAAATGTAGAACATACTCTACTGTTGTTTAGAGTATATTTTGGTATAACTCTGGAAGGAGACTATCTTTATCAAAACTAAAAATGCATATACCCTTTGACCTAGCAGTTCAAAATCTAGGAGTATATCCTTGAACACATATACACATATGCAAGACACACACACACATATATGTGTATTCATATATAATGTTCCTTATGATATTGTTATATAATTTTTAAATATGAAGTCATTAATAAGAGAATATTAAATTATCATGTCTGTGTTCAAATAGTTCTCATTCTTTTTAATAACTGCTCTGAAGAGAATAAAATAATTTGCCTGACTTAAGAACATGTGATAACTTATCTTGTTAAATAAAAAGAAGGTATAGTTTTGCTTCTAGGGAAATAAATATATACAAATTTTCTCCCTCCCTGCTCCCTACTTAACTACACATACTATGCACACATACATCTATAAATAGATGGGTGAATGGACATTAAAAAAACTGTTGATAGCATGGGAATAGGATTGTCAGACTAAAATAGAAGGGAAAGTTTTTTAGTTTACTTATGGTTGCTGCTTGAACTTTTCTTTACTATATGTATCTGTTATTTTTTATAATTGAAATGAAATTTTGCATTAATAACAAAGTCTTGGGTTTTTTTTTTTCCTCTTAGGACTCATCCCAGGAAAGTGTTATTACACGAGATATTCATCGTACATTTCCTGCACATGATTACTTCAAAGACACAGGAGGAGATGGTCAGGAATCACTCTACAAGATCTGTAAGGTAAGTCCTTTCCCCTTGATTTTACTAACATATTTTACAGGGATGTATTTTAGGAATTCATCTTAAAGATTTTTAGAATTTTTTTTTCTGTCTTCATGTCTCATTAGCACTATACCATATTCTCTGGTTTACACATGCATTATCAGTTCCTCAATATGGATCCTGGAAGGTGACTCTTTGCCTGCATGTTCCAAGGAAGGCACAGTACAGCCTCAGTTTGGCTCTCCTGCTAACAGGAAAGAAACAGAATGTCCCCTCTGACTATGCTGTAAAGGTTCAGAGAAATCAGATGAGTCTGCCCTTCTCACAACATAATGTGGCATTTGTCTTGGATTTTTTGACAATAGACAAGTGTGAGAATCAGTGTGGGGCTTGCTGTTGAATACCAGCAAGTTCTCTGATATTGTTAATATACTCTGTGTAGTTTTTATATCTCATTTTGAAGTCTTTCTTCTTCTTCATTATTAATAGACCTGGAAAGAAAAATAACTGCCTCCCAATTTTCAGTGAATGTGCTCTACGTGAATACAAAAGCTTCTGTCTTTGTCATTATAGGATAGCCAGTAAGTTCTCAAGGTTATATCAGAAATGCAGAATGAATGGGTGGCTGTACTTATATTGTTCTCACTTGCCATTGCAGTAGAGATTGTTAATGAATAGTGAACTACACAAAAATCTGGTAATGCGGACACAAAAAGTAAACACCATGGCTAATTTGTAAGTTAGAGAATTAGTATATGAATAATCAAACTTAGTCTTTTAACAAGTAGTAAAGATTGGGCAGTAGGTAGGCTGAAGTATAACCACAAATATATTTCATTTTATATTTACTGTTTTTAAAGGGGCTCATAAAAGCACTCACCTACATATGCTAACCAAATATAGTTGTTTAATTTTTCAAATGGCACATCTTTCACTAAAATCCTTCTTGCATGTTGGTGCTTTTGCCCTCCTCCCACTCCTCTGTATTTTTTTCCCTTTCTGTCTCAGTTTTTTATCTAAATATTTTGAAGTATTATAAATTTACATGGTCAGAAATCTATTTTGGAGGGTCTGAGGGTGTAGCTCAGTGGTAGAGTACTTGCCTAGTATGCACAAAGCCCTAGGTTCTATGCCCAGCACTGCAGATCATTTTTTAAAAAATGGAAAATCTATATTTATATAGATGTATCATTTAGAGCTACAAATACATAACTAACTTAAAATCTGAGAGTGTACTAATTGGTGGAAAGTAATACATCATCTAGTTTAAAAAAATACCAAAAACCGGTGGACACTACAAAAATGTATAATATATTCATTATATGCTTGTAAAAGGTAAAAGTAATTGTTAACTTTTTTCCTACTACTTTTGAAATTCTATGAGCTGATTTGCTTCTGGTTTGTATATAAAAATCGGAAAAATTATATAGTTTTTAAGTTTTTAGAAGGGGATCTTGCTTATGGCATATGGAACTTTTTTTTTCCTCACAGTGTAGTTGCAGCCAATCAGTGACTTTTCCTCTGATTGATACTTTCTTCATATGACTAGAACAGATGGTTCCATGTTCTTGCAGGCTCTGATTTACTCTTTTGCTTCATTGTAGTAAAAATAGTATTTGCTTCATTATATAATATTTAGAGAGAAACAGTTGAAACATTTATATTCCCAAGAGACAAGTAAAATGATTAGCACCTTCACATAGTTGGTAGCCTTTGCTTTGGTGATACAGATAATAACCCAACCTTGAGTTCATTAGATCTAGAAAAGAGTCATTAGTGCATTCATGCAGTTCATAAAGTCATTCTAGATTATCAGTATACATTTTATAACACGATTAGACAATTTTAAGGCTCTTTACGAGTGAAGAATATTATAAAAATGTAGATTCAGCATACTTCATTGTTGACATTACTTAAATTGCACTAAATTTTGTGAATATATGGAAAACAAACAGAATCGTATTCAAAGCTAGTCAATGAAAGTTAAGGCTTTTAATACTGTACAAATATATTTATATATGTGTGTATAATTCTACAACAATCATTGATAATGAAAGTGAACAGAGATTTATATATCAGCAAATGTTGGAGAAATAAAAATTTGCTGGGATGCTACCATGTAGACCACTTGGTTTATGATCCACTCAGTTCCTTTTCCTCTTTTTGTTTGTTGTTTTTTGAGACAGGATCTTGCTATGTAGTTCAAATTGGCTTTGAACTCACTATGTAGCCTACAGAGGCTGCCCTTAAACTCACAATGATCCTCCTGCCTCAGCTTCCTGAGTAGTGGGATTACAGGCTTAACACACTACGCCTGGCTCCTTCTCCTCTTGATCTCTTTTTCAGTAGCCCAGTGTTCATGCCAGGAAGTCTTTTTCCCCTAGCATTTAGTGTATTTTCAGCCAATCATGATAATTCACAAGTGTCTGCCTATGTATAAGTAATTTAGGACTAGATATTCTTTTTTTTATTATTAAATTCCTTTCTTGTTACATTGTAGTTATACAACACAATTACATTTCTCATTGGGAATTGTACCTTTACATAATGTATCTTGGTTCTTATTTTTTCCCCATTCCTAGCCCTCCCTTCACCCGCTCCACCCTTCGCTATTTACAAAAACTTTATTTCTATTTTTTCCATTTCTCAGCATTTTTCCTTTCCTTTCTTTCCTTTCCCCTGCCCCTCCCACTGCCCCTACCCCTTTGGACCTTTTCTTCCTATTATGCATTATCAATTATTCATTCTAATCATTGGTACATTTTAGGTATACAATATAATGACATTCATCATTGGAAATTTGTACCTTTACATAATC